TCAGCCGACTTATTGAGACGGCTCCTCGGATAGACCTAGGTTGTGCGGCTGGATATCACCCAGCCAGATGGACAGACTGGCTAACCAGCAATGGAACTTGCCAACTGAACGTCGCGATCGAAAGGCCACAGGGAGATCACCAGCGTGGGTGAACGATCGAATAAAGGGGGCTGCTGAGAGCCAAGTGGGCCCAAAATTGCAGAAAAAGTCAAAATGGACCGGTTACTGGATAGCCTGTTGGAACTCCGTGCACCAAGGCTGCAGGTACAGACATTTGCATGCCATAGAGAAAGACAGTCAGCAAGCCGGCCAGGCAGTGTGGCCATATGAATCCACTGCACGCTATCAACATCGTAGTTTTTCAGCAGGATTTCCCTCTTGCGATGGGCCAAAAACAGCTGCTATCCGGAAGTGCCGGATTGGGCTGCGGAAGCACAAGTGACAAGATAGATCGATCACTAAATACTACGTGTATATATATATACATATATTTGAGTATAAATATTGCCAGACGTATTCCTACAACCGCTCAATGAGAGTAGCGGCGGATGGCAAGCACGTTCCGTGACGATAGCAGTTCGTCGGCGGCAGGGCCTTTACCGAGCCGAACGTGCTCTCGTTTGGCTTCTTCCAAGGGATAAGCAGTGGCTGGAGAGATCTAGCGCTGTTATTGCTATCGTTAAAAACAGTGGCGGCAATGACGATGGCCACGGTAGTATCCTTTCCAATTTTCCCTCTCGTTCCACTCGGGCACCTTACCGTCCTTCAGTATGACATACAGTGCCAAAGGTCAATCACAGTAGCGCTGGCGCAGTGCTCGCGATATCAACGGTAACATACATAAGTATGACCTGGTACCCTCTTCTACGGTAGGAAAAGTCGCGAAACAAGCATGCCTGTGTTTCAGTGGAACTATTTTCGGTCACTCGGGCGATGGTTCATTCACCGACGCGACACGAACGGCAGGGCACTGGCCTTCTTTGTAATCATAGGGCTCTCGTCCGCGTATCGCACAGATGTGCGACACGAGCTGGCTCAGGAAGTACAAATACACACTTTTTTTCCAAGCGTCCTCTCTTGCTGAACAGCAGCGTCTTCGTGCCGGTAGATGGCGACCTCAACAATCGGGGCCGTGATCTCTCCTTTTTCTCATTTCCAGTCCGATTCCTGTTTTGCATCCCCGGCTATTTTCTACGGCTGGTGCACGCAAGACATGCGAGCGGCGTCTGTATCCAAATCGTACGGTCCTCATGTCTTTACCTGTTATATAGGTCGAAAGCCTACCTAGCCTAACTAGATTTCGGCTAGACAGAAACAAAAAAAAAAAACGAGAACTTGCATTTCTACGACTGCTGCTTCGTACGAATGTAGCAATGCTAAATATACGGAGCTAGAAATGAGGAAAACCATTAGGAGTTGGATAAGCGATCAGACGGGGTGAAGGGAATAACATTGATAGAGCAAGCGAATATAGTTGTGTGAGAACCAACTATCTTGTGGTGTATTGTACGGCTTTTCTAGAACATACTACTAACAAACAACTATTGCTGGTCTTGTTCTTGTTGCTGCTGCAGATAATAACAGGCAGCGTGGTGGTTCAAAGAACCTTCAATCAGTGGCTCGAAACACAGCCGAACTGTAGTAACTGGCAACTTAACGTAATGGTAGCGTAGTTGGCTGGGTTGAACAGACAACGATTGTGTCAGCGAAACATTACGAAGATGCTAGGGGCGGAGGCAACGTCTGGCGACTTTATTCAATTCAACAGCTGCAATGAACAACCGAATGTCGATATCTTGGAACAACTATTGCGGGCAACAGTATCGCACTGCTCTGTGGCCAGGAGACTATTCAAACAGAAGCGAGTCTGACAACAACGCCAATCTGCGCAACAGCTAACAGGTCGTTTTGGCAAAAATTCTGCTTGCCGCGTTAGAATCAAGTGCTGAGAAATAATCATAGAAAAACGATAGAAGGGGGAAGACCCTGGCGCGTTTAGAAAAGTATCCATGCACCGACGGGCAAACAATAGTATGCATAGTAGAGGAACCCTGCTAGGGTCAAATTTAACGGTTTCGTTAAAGGAACCTTGGCCAGGCTAATTGGAAGGAAAATTTCTGCGAGACCTTAGCTGCTGGATGACCGACAACTGGTACAGATCAGAATATGTCGCTGTAGTCGCAGAAACGAAGCCGCTACTCCTGGTTCTGTTGTTGATGATGATGGTGGTGATGGTGATAATGGTGGTGGTATGATGATCATATAATGAGCGCAGCTGTGCTCCACATAGCAGGCGCGAAAGCCTTAATGTGACGTGCGAACGAACGAGACCCGATATGATAACCCTCGCAAGCCACACCTTCAAGGACAGCATGGAGAGTGTATGGCGCTTCATGACGGTAACGACGTAACGCTAGCCAACGCTATCCAAGCATATGGGTACTAACGTACCCTGCCACAAATTTAACACTACGAAAAGAAATAAGACACTTCTTTGGACGTAGCCAAGATCACAGTTATATCGTGTAGGTCCTAGACCTTACTGCGTATAAGTTCTACCGTGACTAATATTGTTTTTCTAATAGCCTTTAAGATTTGTTCTTTACTCGAGTATCAATCGTGGTCGTACAAAGCGAACGTGCCGTAAAGGCTTCACGCTGTTATAGCATGTCTCTTTTGTATAAGCAATTCAGTCCGGTGATTTCTGTCAGTTCGTCGAGTTACACGCCAGCATACTTACTAAGAGTGTCCAATTCTATTGCAAGACACGCCGATGATCAACGTTCGTTCGATCTTTTCTATGCCTTATGTACCTCGAGCAACACGGTGAGCTTGAGCCTCACTCGACTTCTTCGTGTATCTAGAGTTAGAGATCTAAATTTGATTTCCCGTAATAGGCGTGTAGTATTTCCTCGTAACGCTTTTTACCGTGCCCTCAGATACCTATATAAGCTCGAGTCCAGCGAGATTATGGCATTGATGACCACCCGTTAGAAATAATTCTGACATTTCCCATCGCGGAGGGTTCAGCCAGCTCTCGTCCTCGATAATCGTTTTGATGTCGATTGTTTTTTTTTATTGTTTGCCCGCTCCGGACTGCACTTTTTTATCGCCTCAAAATGTTGAGTCTCTTCTAGAACGTGGTAACTGAGCTAGCAGCACGAGTAACATTGACGGTCCAAGATACGTGCAGTGGACACCACGTGCTAAGACAGCCTAAATACTAGATTAATTCGCATGTGTTTTGATCTGGTTTGCGTGGCCTTTGTCGTTTTCAGTAGTTCCTTCGTTTCCCCCTCGTCTACACTCTTTGTTTACCACTTCACGAACAGCGGCCACCAGAAGTACGGATACGGCTGCTTTGATGGCTCCCATAACTCTTACTGCTCGGTTTAATTTTACTTTTAATTTTATGATCTCGACGGCCAGCTGCTGCTTGGCAGATCGGATCTCTGCCTTGTTATCTTATCACTGCATATACAATATCTGACTTCGAGCACTGAAGCTAGCTCCAGTAAACTACTCGCGCACCACATAACCGTTAGATATAAGTACGTACGCTTGGAAGTGTACATTCGTCGATTAGAGGTCTACGTATGCAACCCGACGGCTAGAAGCAGCGCTGCTAGTTGAGAGAATATGGGAAAAAAGCTAAGGAAACAGGGAGGATATTTAGCTTTATGAAGGGACTGTAGTCTGCACACACTGGATCAGTGTCTGCCACAGTCTCCAGAAGCAGTCTTTTGAATACAACATGACTATTTTTTTTCTTTCGTGCGAGAAAAGCCAAAAGATAAAGCAGCATGCAGCCAACCGAGCGGTATTCAAGTTTACGCTGGGTATGATAAGCGTCTGCGAACAGCTAAATGGTCTTGGGCCGAGCTGGTGATTTTGGTGGACAAAGTGGAACGCGAATTAACAGTTGTGTCGGTTCAACATGATCAAACGCTTTATACTTAACTGAGTGAACGGTCCCAATAGGCGGAGCTTCCAGGAGATGAGGAGCAGGTTTAATCGCACGGACGGCTGCACTGCTTTCGATGGCGGAATTGCGATAATGAAGCCACCTGCAGTCCTGAGATAAAATTTTGCCAGTTGTACCGCTGGGTTCGGCCGACATTTGTATTATAAGATAGTAAGTGGCCGCCAGAATATTCCTCGTGGCCCAGTTTCCCTTATGTGCGACTTTTCCCTGTTACTTCGCGTGCTGATTTGTTCGATGTAAAGCATACTCCGGTGTTCTTTCGGGATCTTTCGGCATCTTTCGGGATCCGACAATGCAAGCGACACGGCCAAAGACACCTAACCAATTGGCGAGAGTCACTCATAGCACGCGACAGAAGGCAAAAGAGAGAAAGTTTTGGTTGCGTGAGTGGGCGTCTATGAAGTAATGAAGAAAACGCGAAATTAGCGGTGTCGGAACGGGCAATGTGCCGGCGGACGAGAAGGGAAACCGCGATTGTGCTTGTGTTCACTCATAAGGTTGGTAACGCGCGGTCATCTGCGACAGTTTCATCGACAACCTCCTGCCCGGTTTTGTTAATGCAAAAGCCAATTGCTGAACCACCGCAACACAAAAATCTGCGGGCGGTGCTGATGTATTCATACGAATATATAGTTCATCGTTGCGTCAATTTTCTCGGAGAGATAATAAATGATTCGATAGTGCGGCTGGTCAGATAATCCGGCTTGGATCAGCTTGGTTCAGCCTTCCGGTAATAGGGAGCATGATATTGCGATAGCGGCTGAGAAGATGATCATATTTTATGTTAAAATTAAATTTAATCATTCTTCTCTTTTTACAGGTATGTACTTTCTGTGGTAAAGTGATAAAACCACGTATGTCCGAAGTCTGCAGCATATATTGCAAGAATACATCGTAATTTAATGAAAATCTTAGTAAGTTATTGACGTACCAATCGATCGGTTGAAGATTACAGTACTACAAAATAAATACTAAATCAGAACAGATCGTCTACATATATTTAGGCATACGACAATCGAACATGCTTGAGTACAGTTCAGCAAGACTACATAGACATCCTACTTGTGTCTGATCGTGCAGCGTTGCTACGTGCCATATAACAATAAATTCAAGCGTCCGATAGTACGCGTTTCTTCGAGCAGTTGGCTAAATTGACTGCGGTAATCAGTTCCGCCACCACGGGGAAAGGTAGGCTATAGCTAGAGTCCAGAACGAATCGTTGTTAGGCCTTCCATCGTGCCCTGTCACAGCCGCCAGACTGCCATAAGGGATCCATCACACTCACAGGTTCAAGCGGACCTTCTGCAACCCACGTTTACCACGGTATACACTGATGGAGTAGAGAAAGGACGCCAAACCTGTAATAGCAGATCAACGACATAGAATGATGTGTGCTATGTTGATGGCATTATGATCCAGTTAAATAGGTACACTAGACTATCCTAACGTAATCTAACGTCAGAAATCAGCAAATTGTCACTTTCTCTTGGGGAAGTATTATGTTTTTATAAGCAGGCTGGTCTTTAGAAAGAGGCGAGTTAATGCGAGCCCGTTGATTGAACGATATTTTCATAACGAACAGCGATATGAACAATAGACATAATAACATAGCTCAGGTTGTGGAAGATTCAGAGGTGTATCTGGCAGTATGTACGACAGTATAGAGTGGCAGAGTTTTAAGATGTGAGCAAAATCAAAGAAGTTCGAGCAACTAGACAAAGGCCAGTTTTTCTTAGTACGATACATATTACGTATATGTGTAGGTTTAAATATTGTTATTTTTAATACTATAGTAGTAGTAGTAGTTGTCGTTGTCACCGTTGTCGTCGTTTGCCTAACACGTTCGTAGCTTCTGGCTAATTTTATAACCACGAGATGTCTACATTGTGTACTCTATAAGAATAGAAAAACGATGTTCCATTTTCATGGTGTAGATTATTGCATGATAGTTGACCTAATATTGTGTTTCAATGGCAACATTTAGACTTCTTCTAGCTTTTCGTACTGTATCTTCCCTTTTGGCTGTTGTTACATTTTCGCTGCATTTCCCATGTAACCAGCACAATGTCCTTACAGAGCTGTGTACATCACTTTTTTTGTCCTCTATGGCCTGGCCCGGTCTAAGGCAACTATTGTCATTCGCATAGGACTTCCCTACCACCAGCACTTCTGCTGCGACCATAATAACGCAACCAAGGCAGCAGCTGTCTAGGCGATCTGGCACGTGAGAGATTTTTGCGTTTTCTCTTCTCGAGCAATAGCAGAAGCACGTTTCGCAAAAAAGCTCGACAACAAACGAGTATTGTGGGTGAGGCCAACTGCGTTCATCTAGAAGGCTTCTAATTAGCTATAGGACCCCTAAAGCCTCAAATCACGTCAAAGTCCTTCATATGCCGTCCCCTCTTTAACGGTTTGGCGTTACGTCGTTATGCGTTCGGTGATCTCGGTTCCACCGCGTGAGCCATCGCCATCACCGATTTCAGCACGATGCTTCCCTTTACTTAGTTGTGGAAAGAGCGAATTGAGTTCGCTAGAGGGTACATATCGCGGTTGGTGTCGTCATTCCGTTTAGCTCGTATCCCGTAGCCACGCAAATCGCTCAAGCAAGCAACTTACCAAGCACCACATCTTCGTAGTAACCCTACCGGGGGCTTTAACCTCCTCGTGGCCTCTTCTTTGGTCTTTTCTAGCCGCTGTGATGATAGTAATGATTGTGGTGGCAGTGCCGGTAATGGCAGCAATAGCGGTGGTGATAAAAACCGTGTGCGTTTTTTGGAAAAAATTTGTGTGAATCTTTCCCCATTTGCCACCTGTTCCTCCCTTGGATACCTTACTACGCTGCTGACGCCGCCAGTCCCCGTTCCCGTTCACCCCCTACGGTCCCTCTGAAGACAGAAAGTCTTCAAACTCTCCTTTTTCGCTCTCTCAGAGCCACTGCTGACCGAGCAAGTAACGCGCTTCGAAGACAGTGAGTGCGTTTCATGGGCGGGCTCCTGCTTTAATTTCTATCACTAAGCATGCGGTATCCGTGCAGGTCTTATTACCGAATCCCGCATCCAACCGAACTATGAAACGCTGGCATTTCGTTGGTTCGTTCCGTTGAGGTTTGAGGGTTGCCATCCAGGGTTATCATCAGAATACATCACAACGTAGTAAGAGTTAAGGCTACCACATTTGCCATTGCTATATATACCCCTGAGGCATGCTGCTGCAATGCTGTCGCAGCAGAGACCACCGTTGAATGCGAGGAATCTGCATACCCCACGAAGTTTTTAAAATCATCCTGCGTCGTGTCGCAGTACTGAAGTATAACGAAAATGCGTACGTTCAACAACAACAACAACAACAACAACGATAATAACAGACGTTGCGCTTGCAGACAGCCAGGAAAGCGTATATGCCCAAACACATTCAAGCGGACAGACTTATACATACTAGAAAAATTGGCAGTTCGCATGGTTACGAAGCACAGTGGGTGCAGAGGATGGCGCCAAGCATAGCGGTAGCAGCGAGCGCGATGATGATGCTGACGCCCACCGCAGTAGCAGCAGCGGCAGTGGCGATTTTAATTACTACTTCTACAAAAGTTGCTATTTCTGAAGGAGTATGGCGCTGTGCTACACCGTATAAACGAAGAACATACGGATCCATAGAACTGTGAAGCGCTAAAGGAAGAGTGGAAAAAGCACGCATTGTAACGGCGAAGTTTTCGGAAGAACAGGCAAACCAGCGCCAACAATAGTAGAAAGTATGTGCTTCTATTAATTATTAAGTTACTGATCAGCTGAGAATTTTTCAATTTTTGCCGATCGCAGGAGGATGTCGATATATGGTGTACGCATCTCGCAATACCACTTCTGACTTCGCAAATTATGAATGCTAAGAGATACAATTTGATCACTAAGTACATATAGGACTATTGCATCTACGTGACGAAATGTCACGTCTACTTCCTTGTGTATATATATATATATATATATATATATATATATATATATATATATATATATATCGAACAGGCTAGCTAAGGTCAATAGGCTCACTTGTAAATAAGAATACAAAATCTGTAACAACCACGTGGATGACTGGCTAATAATTATCAGCCATTGCTTTTGTTGTATTTCACGGCATCTGCTAGCCTATCGAGGGCGGCCGCGTATCGCAACTGCGATAATACGTTGTCGCTGTTTTACTTTGTAAATTAATTCTAGAGAATCGTCAGCAAGCGCCATTACGCCCACATTGGCTTTACTACAGGTCGTAGCGTAACAGTATAGTCAGATCCAGGGAAAGGAAAACAAGCCGTTACTGAAAGATTGCTGTAACTTATTACGGTCTCATGCTGACGTTCTATTAACTCACTGGTCGCATTGTCCGCTATCTCGCTCCTGTCTTTTCTGCCTTTTCGGGTAGTATCGCGATTTGCACACCTATTACCTGCTAGACGAGACCGACATAGCAATCAGGTAGACGTTACTACCGCGACTACTAATATGAGCCTGCCAGCTAGTCCAGCCAGTCCCGGTTGCCCTAGCGTCATTACGAAAACAGTATGAACTCTCGGTGTCGTCCGGTTAACCCAGCTACTGCTGTGGCGATGAAAGGGCTGCTCTATATTTAAATTGGATGATGCTATGGTGTAGGGGGATAGGTATACAGCGGGCGAAAATTGTGCGGCCGTAGTAGATTAGCTAGTACGGGGGTACAAGTTTTGGACCCTTCGTAGCGGTCACGTGTGTGGAAAGCTTCATGAGGCGCGGGTCTCCTCCAAGGCAAGTTAGCAAGTGGCACCAACACGCAGCGACCAAGGAGGTCCAGCAGCAGCAACGGAGCACATCGTGGTGCTCCCCCGGCGCGCCTTTGCTACAGCTGTTGTTGTCTTGGTTGTCATTTTCGTCACGGTCCGGGAAATAGACAGCAGTCGACGAAAGGTTTGACGACGACGACGATGAAGCGATTTTACTAGGTCATAAACTTCTTAATCTGGAGCCACCGCGCTGGGAGAAACAACCGACTCCTTAGTCGAGATACACAGCTGTCACTACTGCGACTCCAACAAACAGCGTTCTCTGCCTAACACTCGCCGTTCGTTGGCTTGCTGCTGGCATAACGGCCAAGCGCTAAATTATAGTACGCATTGTAGTGGTACTGAGGCCCGTGTGCCTAAACCTGACCTCTCCGGATCTGCTCTGCCGTGGTTCGCGGTAGAACTGGTAGTGACAAAGACATGGGGAAAGATACAAGGTAAGGAGAGAAAAGAAGAAAATATCTTCCTTCTCAGCTAATAAACTATAGCAGCAAAATCTACTTTGCGGCCTGTGTTGAAATAGCTTACTGCCTGCCTTGCTAGCCCTAACCTAGACCACAATCGTCTTGGCAACAGCAGCGACGACGACGACGACAACAACTGCCAAATCGCTACCTTGGTGATGTGTTGCCACTCGTTCGCGGTGCCTCTCCACTGGTCGACCATGGACCTGTGCTTGTCACCAGCAGGAGCCTTTTGTCTCGTCATAGAAATCTGCTGACCGCTACTATGAGCTCTGAGGCAGCCTTCTCAGCCACCTTGGCGATTGACCTAATAGGGCTGTGCGTCATCTAAAATTGACGAAGTCGGGTTTTCAGGATTCATTAACGATATTACAGGCTGCTGCAGCAGTCGCGGACCTGACGCAATCATGGCTGTTTCCCATAGCCTGCACGCTGCCTGGCCATGCGGGCAAACAAAAGCGGCAACGCAAAAGAGGGAAGCTGTAAACTTCATGCAGCTACGAATGAAGTTGGGCTAATTAGAGAACGACTAGTCATGATACCTTCATCTTCATACCATAATAATAGGGTATACTAGATGTATAAAAGAGAGATAAATACACACAAGACACCTACCCACACACGAGGCTTGCGCCTCGTGTACTTCAGTGTTAACTCCGCCGGACGACATGTACGTTGGTATGCATTATATGAGGGGTACTTTTTGCCTGCATTTCTTACTTTTTTCATGTTTTTTTCTATCACGCACTATCCTCACCCCCAACTATTTGCTGGTCCAAATTCGACATCACAGATTCTAGCCGACGTTTTGCAGACACGAATAAGCTTCATTCTGTAGCCTCTGAGATAGCGAGTCATCGTTATTTGCAGTAAAAGTACAGAAAACCTCAAACTGCCCATTATTATCTTGTTAACGACGTATAAATTGATCGAGTATAAATTTTTTTTGTATATTGCTACGGACATCTTTGGGTGTGCCTTCTACTTTAATAGGCGGACAAAGTGCAACCAATAAATATTAAAGGCGGAATAAAAGGGTTCTATGTTTTGCAAGAATGTATTTGAGTCGTCGTCTGTTCAGCCGGAAGCCAAAAAGCTTATCAGCAGAACCATCAATAGAAGGTATACTAATAAGAAGCACATTGTAGCTTGCTTAGAAATGCATTTCTCGCCTGCTAAATTATCGGAAAAGATAAGCCACTACCAGGACCGTGTAGTTCGCTTCGTACGATAGCACGTTACCCATTCAGACGACCCTGGGCAGGCTTGTTTTGCGGCTTGTGTCGAACACCTGTTGACTCAGATAAATACCTTTGGTTCATCATTGCAATGAGAGTTCAAGCAAATGCAGTACATTCTAAGTAGGAAGGCTTTATTCGCATTGCTCGCCAGCACCTTATTCGATAACTTGTTCCTTACCAAGCCTGGTCTAAGTTGTGTAGCAATGTATAATAGAATCATGCGAAGTACGGGTTTTGCTCAAAACTTCCAACACACTTAAGTATACCTATACGTTGTTAGTAAATCCATCAAACGATTTCCCATATACTACACGGTCTGTGAATCTCTTCCTGGAAATACTAAAAAATGTAATCCAGCTTCATTAAGCCTCACTGCTTTACTGTTGTATCCGTTAACAGCGTCGAAAACTTTGTATAAGATTATAGTTTTCGTAAGAACCTAGAGATACTTGTGCAGCGAGAAATTTGCTCGCTATGAGCTCGAACTTATTCGTGAGGCTCAACAATAGGCGCGAAAACACTCACTGTCATTGTGCCTTGTGCTGATCACAGGTTTAATAATAATAATAAACGAACTCAAGCCTAGGCAGGCCTATTACTTTGTGGCAATAATGAGACGATTGAATTAGAGACCGCAGAGATATTTTCTATCAGAGTGGCTTTTTCGTACTACGAAATGTAGTACAGGCATCATTTGGCTGGACAGAACGTTGCAACAAATTAGACTACATTCAATGAGACATAATTCAGAACAAAGTATATTAATTATATTTTCTTTTTCCAAAACCTAAATAACCTAATAATGGTTTATTACGCCGAAATTATTCCAAGGAAGATTAACGTGCCTGATAGAAATATGTTGCAACGAAGGAAATATTACGTAAAATGAGCGCGCTAGGAGAGTGGAATAGTTAGTATATTTGATTTTATATTTATTATCAGTACTTGAACATATTAATAATGTGTTTCTCCGACATTGTGTACACCGTAGGCCTGTTTTGACAATGATTAGAACATGGCTCACTCGCATTTTACATGTAAGCATACCAAATGTAAGACACCTGTTAGATATTTATCTGGCAATAGCGCTTCATGGCTCGCAACGCATTTAACCTTAGCTCTAGCTTTTTGATTAGCTATTTTGCTATCGTTTTACATAGCAGTGTGGATACGCATTTGCTCTGCGCCCCACCCCATTTGGGCTGAACCCCAATGCACTGCCGTGACGCAAGCAGTTCCCTGTGTATGGCAAAGGTTCATTGGGCCCGGCTAGGATAAAAACGCTGACCACGAACTAGTCTTGTGCTAACAGCTGTGTTATCGTCCCCTGAAAGACGTGGAAAATCCGGAAGAAATGCGTGGGTCAGCATAAAATCTTGGTAAACAAACTGATCTCTAGGAAGTGAGGTAAATTTATTTTTAGCATCTACAACGCCATTACTGATATTATATATATATATATATATATATATATATATATATATATATATATAAGCTTATTTTCTTCAGTCGTGTAAAAACGGCAATGGCAGAGTCAGGTGTTATGTTGGATTAACATTTCATTTTTTGTATTGTAGATCTCTGCCCAGTATGCTATCTATCAGGTGAACACACAAGTATGCGCAGGTATTCGAATGGGGCATAAAGGCAATTAGTGGCAAAGCACTTTGGCATAAAGTTATTTACAAATTATCTGGCATCGTGCGAGATTTGTTTGTTCGGGTCAAAAAACATTTTAGACCGTTTTTCTTTTGACAGAAAAGCAGCAGGCATTTTTAAAGGGACGTCCTGAAGTGGCTGAAAAACCGATCCAAGACTGTCTCTAGCAATAACGAAACAAGGCAAGGCTTAAGAGTGGACTTGAAAGTCATTAAACGTTTTTCAAGATACGAGAAAACAGTAGGTACCAGTAGACTGGTCAGATGCTCTTCAATATCCTTGTGAGTTTGATAAATCAAAAAAGGCCTCGATAATCAGCTATTAATCAGCTCGATAATCTGCCATTCAGTCAGCAACAATGTGACTTTAGTTCCGCTTGATTTGGCTTAGCGATGCAGTCGCAAGAAGGAGATCTCAATCGTGTGACGTCGGCATATACAAGCTGATATAATGTTGATCTCGTCTTTAGGTTTGACCCCTATGTCCTATGTCGCTCAGCGACATAGGAAAATAAGAATTTTTTTTGTTTCTCGGCACCACCTCTCGCCTGTGTCTCGAAAGCGTGTAATTTTCAAATGGTTCATCACGCCATGTTGACGTAACGCATGTATTCTCCACGCGACAATCATAACAATCGCCAATTTTTATCATTATATGCAAAATACGTTTACCCTTCTTAACACAAAGAAAGGGTTAGAAAGAAAAAAAGGCGAAAACGTGTGCTAAGTCTGAGCTCTCACTGAACATGGAAGTTTTGCTGGGTTTCAAAGACGAGGTATGCTTGAGACATCTCATCTTAACTAGGACGTGTTTTTTTGACCGGAAAGGGGAATGTGGTAGTGGCACCAAGCAAGGCTGGGGGCTTGCAGATATTATCCCTTTTCACTCGCGTCTTACTTACCGTATGCTCTGACGTCCAGTCTTTAGGGTTTTTTTGCTTTACTCTTTGCCCACGTGCCGTCAAAATTTTGATTTTCTGACAAGCTTTTTACTGGCCGATAGTAATCCATACCTTTGTTTCTCTTCAATAGCTAGTTGCTATTGATTGGTAACACATATTCCACTAGTTTGTTATCGCTAATCGTTAACGTCTATGAAACATAGAAGAGGAAAAAGACAGATTTGAGTGACTGGGAGTCTTCAGTCCCCTATACAGAAGGACGTACGAAAACGTCCAAAGAGCTGAGCGTGATATGGGGTACTCACATGACGCAACTCGATTTAAATTGAAAACTGGAATACGTAACATGTTGTCATTCCTCACCGCCGTCACATTTTATACTTACAGCTATCGCAGAATCCTCACACTTTTTGAAGGTTCGGTAAATCGTCTCTCCTAGGAACATACGATATACTGGAATTTCACTTTTTTTGTATTATAGCTAATACATTGTGGAAGTCTCTTCCCTCGGTTCGAATCTCAATTTCTAGTAAAATCAATTTTGACTGTTGGCAGCAATCAGAAGACGTAAGATTAATTCCGATGTCGTCACAACAGGCCCAACAGACGGCAACAGCGTTATTCACGAAACGTAACATAATCCACTTTGGCGTTGACTTTACGCGTACATACTCATTAGCTCTAAGGTTCCGCTGGACAAGAAATTATATATGGCTACGTTTCGAGCAGATACGGATAAAACTAGGCCGCCATAGATCTGTTCATGAAGTAACGTTCACACTTGCTGTAATAGCACAAAACGTAGCTTTTTGGATTCGATGCATAGAGGTAAATTTTGTTTGGGTGTACCTTGAAAACCAGTTCTGTCCCTTGAAGACCGCCCGACTTTCCTTTTAAGCCTTGTCTCAGACTTTGTCAAAGTTTTTTTCTTAAGGGACTTTCCTGCTGTTTAAGTTGCGACCTACGTGGCTATCCGCACTTGTGACAGTACCGCAACTATTCTCAACAATTACTGCTAGCCTTGTAGATGTTGACGGCTATGGCAATGATAATTATTCGTTTGTGTCTACGAAATACCAGACCTTATATCATATAGGGTTAGATCTGTACATACGAAGTAACACCTGAAAAGAGAGTAGAAAAAACCTGTAAATTTCTGTTCATACACATGTTTATTGAATGCTCGTACAAAAATGCTACTAATGTACACCATTAGCAAATATAATACTGATAAACACTTATGTAGAACAGGCTGAATTTTAGGAGCAAAAATCTAATCGGTAAGTGTTTTAACCGGCTAGCGACGCCATTTCAAACTTTCAAAGAAGTTTTTCATTTAGTTGAAAATCATGAAAAATGTCACCAAAAAATTCTAAGCCTACTCTACTCCCATGGTGGAATATATCTAGGGTCTTCTACCTATCTACCTATGATTTATTACATACTGATCATACCATTATACATAAAAAAAACTTAAATGTTGCGAATGTTGAGTTCGGTATCGCCGTCAGGCGTTGCATTAGACGGCTGGCTCCCCGCTGAAAACGAACCGTATGTCCATGGCCGGATTCGAACTAAGACGACTACATGTTCCTCAAGTTTAGCGCAAAAACGCGTAGGAAAGGCTGGCATCACAACGCTCTTTTTCAATGAACAGCTCATTTGTCTTTAAGCACCCTGGCAGCATCCCGAAAGACGGCTGGCCGGCCTTGATCGGCCAAGCCTGTGGCATTTCGCTAAATGTATCCTAGATTAACTGTAGAGCCTTTAGCATCCCTGTGTCTCCATCTCCGATAACCCATTATATCGGTGGTTGTTCGTTCGATCGATTGACCGATTGACCGATTTCGTTGGCTTCCCGGGTTTCCTTCGACAGTCCCGAAGGTTAAAGGACTCGTCTTCTATGCTTGCTCGCTTTATATCTTCCTCTGAGCGTGTGTTCGACATGTCATTCGCAGGCCACCACGGACAGCTACGGATGGGTTTAGGACTATTCGCGATTAGCGAAAGCAAAGCTGACCAAGGTTAAGTCCCCATAGCCATGATGCACCATACGAATCTCCAAGGAAAAAAGCCTCACTTGAGAACGATTGCTCTATGTTTCTAGGCTGTGTACTGTCCATAAGCATTAGCGTAATCGAACACGGTTTTAATCCTCGTTAACGTCCCTCTTCGAAGAATGCAGCCAATCTAGCCCGCTAAAACTGATCTTTTCCAGGATGTAACATGGAGATATCCCCCATTGCCCATCGAAGAACTATAGAATACTACTTGTCGATTTGTCTTAGGCAGCCGATGATAAAGAATCGTGCCACATACTGACTTGGGTTAAGTTTCAAACCAACGTTGATAAGTAAACTTCTTCGATTATCCTTTAATGGTTTCACATATATTTGAATATAAAAATGAATTTTGTTCGAAATCTAACTTACTACCGAAAAACGACCAGGATTTATCTCGCTGTTTTTAATATTATGATGACCCATTGCTTATATATATAAGTCGATCTATGTTATTATCGCTCTACGTGTAGGAAGTGACATTCAAGATGTTGTGAATCGTGGGTAACCTTTAGCGAACAAGAGGTCATAATAACATAAAAACAGTAGTATACACGGGATAACCATTCATTTTCGAGCATCTGAAGCCATCTCCGATCGGCACGTGTACTAAGCGATAGAGCCCACACAATCATAGAGTCAAAAAAAGTTTTAAAAATGCCCTTTCATCGACAGGTTCGTAGGTTATTAGGTCGCAAACTGGACGATATAGACACAACAAATACAGGCTTTGGGAGAAGGAGAGCAATAGTAAGACGTCGGAAGAACAGAACGAGAGAGTCGTAAGCCACTGCCCACAAATCGAGTCAGCCGCAAGAACGACAACAAAGTGGACCTCAAAGCGCTTTTTGGTACCTGAAGCCTTTGTCGACGTGCGCTTTGTAGTTGCCTGCTAAATGTTTACGTAAACTATATTTCAGATGGATATGAAATGGAGGAAACAATATCATTGTGCTCTAAATCTATGAACCAGTCAGTATTTGAGGAGGGAAACGCGCAAATGTCCTGAGAGATTTGTATCCTACTTTGGAACACTGTTTTAAGCTTGAGTCAATCGTCCTAGAAAAGTCGATAGGAGTTGATCTCAGAACGACAGACTGAATACCCGTGCGTCAGTATCAACGCTGAAATATGTCATAAGTGTGCCACTTCATAAAATTTTGATGTTACTCCTAACAGATATTTAATGATCTAGTGCCGTTAAAAAACTTAATATTTTAACAAACTTGAGATGTTGGAGACCATACAAAAATCTACAAATACGCTCAACGATATTCATATATGTTCCTAACAAATTTAACGTAACTGTTGTTTTTTTTTACGAACGAAGACCGGAACCCCAGAAGAAATAACATGATTCTATGGTTCGAAACAAGACTAAAAGGTGGTGCGACTTTAATAATGCGCCTTCTTTTTCTCTCTAATCGGGTTGTTCCACCCGATTGTTCTTGTTTGGGCAAATGTAAAAGCTTGCCGATACTTTGGCAGTGTTACAAGTGGGGTGAATGTTGTCGTAGCACGAACCATCAATGGGGACGTCAAGCCAGCAGCCGTATCGTTGACGACAGTTCGACAAAAAGTTGTTGTCCACTTGTTCACAGAGATGGGAGTGTAAGAAGATTTTTGACCATCTAGGCAAATACAGAAAAGAATACCTATTAGCCAGCTAAGTCCAGGGCGACATAAGAATGCCTATCTTTGGGAGAGCTCCCAAACTGCCCTTATCCCAGCTATGGCAGATTTTTTCCTGGAGCATTATTAGGCCGCTGCATCTCTGCTGTTGTAATATTTTCCTTCTCTACCTTTTTCGGTAGCCGGGGTTCACTTAATGAAACGTAGTGGATGCCGAAAAGTTGGTTGATCACGTATTTTGTGTAGTGTATATTATTTTAAATATCTATATGTGTATATGGGCTTAGTTTATGGTCAGAGTTGATATCACGTATTTGGAACGACATTGATTGGGAGGCAATGCTCACAGATGTACAATTAATAACGCGGTAATTTTACCTTTTTGTTACAATCTGATACGAGGATCACTCATTGTTACGCTAGTCAGTATACATTTCAACGGTTGTAGCCTAACATTCAAGGATATTGATACATCATGTATTACTCCAGGGCAAAGTGTTATGGATACGAGTATTTGACAAGAGTATGTGCAGCAAATCAAGTTTTGTAGAATAGCAACTCTTTTCTATATGTTTCCGATAGGAAAGAGGCCGGCATCCAAAAAGACCCTTTGACAATAACACTATTATCATTCTCTTTGATATTTCTATCAGCTTATAGATAGAAGCGCTTCTTAAGGCGAAACAGAAGGCGTGAAACCTGAAGCCTTGACCTTAAGCCAGCTGGAGCTGCGCATCGCCCCTTCGACGTCGGTCGCCTGTGCTTAGTGGCGTCCATCATAAAGTTTCAGTTATTGCCTCCCAAAAATAGGGGCGTGCCGCTGATATCAGTGTTTTAGCAAAGAAATTAAACTGCACATCCTTTCGGTTTATTATCACAGACAGTACGTCTGCTACGTACATATAGCAGCCGTTCTAAGGGCTATGGATACCAATATCGATTCAACTCAATACACACAAGCATGACATAACACAAAAACAACAACAGAAAAACACGGAATTTTTGTTTTCGCTGACAAGTGTTTTTATGTCTTTTTATATTTAAATGTCTACCATAGATGTTTTTTGCCTTTGCAAATGTGGCCGCTGGCCGAGCAATTATTGCGTTCCTAGAAGGGGCCTTTGAGTTTAAGTTGAATTGCTTGAGCATATGTTTCTGTGAGTAAGTTAGTGTCCTTTCTTCCACAGACAACTAAAAATTTTCCAGAGAGCAGAGTAAATTACGAAGTTTATATATTCAATGCTACTGCCTTGCGTTCGTTTTTACACCGACTATATATAGTTTAATCTCAGATGCATTATCAGGAAATGTGAATACATCCTTTTTTTTTCATATAGAAATCATGTTATGACGTATATATGACTTACGTAAAGTAGATTCTTTTGTTAGCATAAACAGTTGAAATTTTCAAAAGCGGAGCGCTAGATAAACGAGGTCAATCTGCACAGGCCTGAGGTATTGTGCGTTCGAAAAGGGTTGTTCTGTAAAATTCAGCGAAACAGCCGCCTCGAATTTGTCAAAAAGTACGATAACATATCAGATGGGGTTTCTGCTTGGTGATAGATGGATTTTAAGTATAACGCCTGACCAACTATGATAGCATTAGCCTTCTAGGCGGTCACCGTCAACGATAATCTTGAAAAAGTCAGCACAGAACGCACTCATAGGAACATAAAGCAAGATAGAACCCATTGGAGATTCAAATTTGCAACTATATTGGAGACTAAAAGATAAAAGCGATATGTTTAGTGGATAATTATTTTCGTAATTTTATTATATAATTAACTAAGGAGAAGTGCAACAGTTACGGGTGAGTTTAGTTAGACCGCAATGGATTGTCCTGGATTATTCTAAATGCTCCTTCAGAATACGTGAGGAGGATAGGTTGTGCATGATCAAAAAGACGCAGATACTGATAAACATCTTAGTAAGAACCGGACTCAGTAATACTGCTCGCGAAGTTCTACGGCTAACGCTTATGTAGGGTAAACATGGCGATCCGGAATAGTCTTAAGCGCACACCCCTTGCATAGTGCAAGCATTGTTAAACCGTTCTCATAGTGCTCCTGAGAAAAAAGGTATTCATGTTTCTGTGTTTCCGCAGATTTCTAGAAGACGACGACGCGACTTTTTGCAGGGGTTCGATAACTTTTCGTGTGTAGTTAAGAGTTCTGCCTCTACGGCGATGAATCCCTAAGTAAATATCAAACACCCACACGAACTTTAATCGATTCCTAACGAGCCAAGCTTGCGGTGACAGGTTAAGTATGTTCTTTTACCGATTGGTGAATTATATTTGCCTTCCATATTCTGTTCGCTAGAGGTTCCGGATCAATTTACGGCGCTGATCCTGATGATTACCAACGCTGTAGTCTGCACGTACGATCAATCACATTACGTTAAGCGACAACGTTTTTCCTCAATATTGCGGG